ATCGCTCTGTGCCTACATCTCTATGGTGCAAACCCTAAAGGCAAATCAAACGGCTTTGGGAATGGGACTCTTTGGGATAACTAGCCTGTCAAGGCTATTCTCCTCTCCTTCCAGATTGAAAAAGGGGAGCTAAGAGAGTAACAATTTTTATTTCTCATGTCGCTTTCACCCAACCAGAAAAAGGACCAACACAGTAATGACTTGTCCCACATTCAGTGAATGTGATAAAGGGTGCTTCCAGACAAGGACTTAATATTCTAAATGGGTGTCACAAATGGGTTATTGGAAACACGATATAGTTGTTTAACTTACTTGATTTTCCTCAGAAAAAAGGAAATTTGGATTAAATAGAGTAAAATACAGGTTGGCATTTTGATGAAAACAATGTGTGGGCACTGCACAAAACTTGCTAGCATTAGATGTTGGTAGACTTTCTCATTTGAGACACCTTAAAAAGGAAACTGTTAAATCTGTGCTACCAAAAAGCATTCATTTGCTATCCCCTGCTCCCAAAGTGCCATGGTCAAGTGTCAGGAAGCAGTTCATCTTAAACAGCTTTAGCCTTGGCATCTCTGCTGAGTTTTAAAGCAAAATGCCTGTTGTTGTTGTTTTAAAAAAGACCTATTTACTATCTATATTTCCTTGGAGGACCTCCAGATTCATTTAATGCACCATGACAAAACAAAATAAATAGGGTATGGGTCTAAACTAAATACACATGTTGGAAGGCTGTCGTGCCCTAAATTGCTTGCGAAAATGAAGAAATAATTCCCACAAATGGTTTCTAGGATTTATTTTGGTCTATAGTAGCAGAAAACCAGAATATTTTTTGCCACTTTTAAAGAACTGGCTTATTGTTTCACATAGGTTTCCCCAGGCAATAGCCTGCTGCATCAAGTGCATGGTGCACTGAGGAAATCCATACTTTCTACACTGTTCTGAAGTGCACTGGGGTCTAAATCAAGATGACAAGGTGTGAACTGAAAGGTACAGGAGTGCTAAAGGGAGCTGATACCTGGAGAGCTAACCATGCATACAATGGAAATGTTTGCTTAAACACTGGAGCATGAATTTTAAACAAATAAGAGGCACTTGCCTTTTGTAACACACCGTTCTTATAACTCCACCCAATTCCAAGAAAATCTGTTTTGTTAATGAATTCCAGTTTTGCAGTCTCTCGCTAAAACTGTTCCTATGTAATGGCCTTAAGGTCAGGCAGCCATCCTTGCCCCCAATATTGTAATGCTCTAATTTCTACATGGTATGTTCTCTTTTGTTAAGGGCAGTTTGTGTTCAGCTGATGTAAAAAGGGAGAACAAAATGAAAAGTCACACTTTTTTTAAAAAAATCATAAACCATTCCATTCCACTTTACTCAGATATAAGCCCCACTGAGTCACATTTACACATGTCAAAATACATACTACTACAAATTCTGTATGGTCTACATCTGGATTGGAATTCCTTTTAGTTGCTTTAATTTTTTAATGGTGTTCTTGCTGTCCTGGGCTCCTTTCGAAGGAAGAGGGGAAAATAGAAATATAAACAAATACATTCATATTGTTGCAGGCCACCGCAATCTCTGAGTGAAGCGAGATTCCAGGGGTTTACCTAGGATTTATGTTTCCTTTTGGGAATGAGTCAGAGCAGAGAATGTGGCGTCTTTATGATATATGGCTTATTTGCACCTATAGAATCACAGATTCATAGAATTGTAGTCCAATCCTTTGCAAAGCAGGAATATGCAGCTGAATCGAACCTGCAACCTTGGTGTTATTGGCACCACACTCTAACCAACTGAGCCTACGACGGAGGGGTCCACAGCATTAGCACCCTAAAACGGTTTGGTTTCTTCCATAGTCACAACCTTGGAGCCAAACGGAAATCAGTCATTGTGCTCTGACCCTCTTTCCAGTTTATTGCCTTTTCTGACCTGCAACCTTTTCTCCCTTAGGTCACATTGCAGCCAACTCTCAGTTCTACTTCAAACTCTGGCTTTGTCTTCTGACTCTAAACTGGAGGAGAGGCCCTAGCTAGTCTAGCACAGAGCCCCCTCTCCTTGGCTTTCTTAATGGCTCATCTCGCAGGTAATTACTTCATCAGGCCTGGCTTATATTTTGAGCCCTGCTGGATCCAGGGGTTCAGGAGGCTTGATGAAATTCTAGCACTTACTGGATCCAGGAATTTAGGGGAACCTGGCACCCTTGAACTCCTAACAATTAAACGCTTGGGAAAATCAGAAAATCATATGAAGTTCCAACTTATTATTGGGGTTTCAAGAACCACAGTCACATTGATATTTATATGACAATTCTCACTATATTTACTTTCAGCTGATTTTAATGGTGCTTCCAGTAACAATACTTTGGATTGCTGTCTTAATTTTAAAATATAAAAAGTGTGTGAGCTCCTACAGTTAGGCCAAAAAGATCCCCAACTCTGTGTTTAGAGACTGAGGCCCCTCTAACCACAAAAGTTGCACAAGAGGACATCCTGGCCTAACTTGTGTTGTCGCTCCAGTTTGATAGAAGGAGGGGGCCTACTGCTTAGAATGAGGAAGAACTCAGTATAATTTGAAATTTTGCATCCTCCCTTTCACCACTGCTGGGTCTCCTACATGGACAGATTTGCTTTATCCAATTGGTCCAAGAAGGTAGAAACTCTCTAGACCCTAATTCAAAACCACACATATTAATTTAGGTACCCCTGCCCGTACGGGCCAGTCTTGCCAGACTCTAGGGTTGTGCGCTCATCTCACTCTAGAGGCCGGGAGCCAGCGCTGTCCGGAGACACTTCCGGGTCACGTGGCCAGTGTGACAAGCTGCATCTGGCGAGCCAGCGCAGCACACGGAACGCCGTTTACCTTCCCGCTGGTAAGCGGTCCCTATTTATCTACTTGCACCCGGGGGTGCTTTCGAACTGCTAGGTTGGCAGGCGCTGGGACCGAACGACGGGAGCGCACCCCGCCGCAGGGATTCGAACCGCCGACCATGCGATCGGCAAGTCCTAGGCACTGAGGTTTTACCCACAGCGCCACCCGCGTCCCTACACATATTAATACTCCTCTGCATTTGTAAGAAATCCATATCTTTTAGAGTGGCAGCATCCAAACTTTGAAACTCTTGTCTATTGACATCAGGCAGATCCCTTCACTGTACTCTTTTCACCATCTGCTACAAACATTTCTGTCCAGGCAAACCTATCCAGATACTGTGGTACCTCGGGTTAAGTACTTAATTTGTTCCGGAGGTCCGTACTTAACATGAAACTGTTCTTAACCTGAAGCACCACTTTAGCTCATGGGGCCTCCCGCTGCCACCATGCCGCCGGAGCACAATTTCTGTTCCCATCCTGAAGCAAAGTTCTTAACCTGAAGCACTATTTCTGGGTTAGCAGAGTCTGTAACCTGAAGCGTATGTAACCTGAAGTGTATGTAACCGAGGTACCAATGTATATAGAACATTGGTGTTTTAATCTGTTTTTCTAATTATTGTTTTAAATGAAGGGCAGTATACAGATTTAATTAATTTAATTTAATAATAATAATAATAATAAAAAACAACTCTGCTCTCCTAGGTCCTAGTCTGACACTTAACTACTACATGCTGGATCGAGCGCTATATAAATGTTATGAAATCAATCAATCAATCAATCAAATTATATGGGAATCCAAGAGATCCATTTCTAAAACCTTTGTTCTTACATGGAAGCAGTTGCACACTGGCAGAAAAAGTTCCGTTTCTTTTGAGTGACACTAATAGCTTTGTGACACATAAAGTGGCTCTTTATGCACTCGCTGCAAAAAAGATTAGAATGAGTTAGATAATATTGCCATAAATTGTTTTAGAGATTTGGAGGTTTAATCTGAAGCTGAGCTGGCTTGGAGCTTGCTGATGCTAATTCTGTTTTTCCTTCCCTCCTATCGTATATGTCCGATTTACATGATGGAGGGATGTTCTGTACTATGTAATAAAAATAATAAAAGTAATAATAATAATTTATTTATACCCTGCCCATCTGGCTGGGTTTCCCCAGCCACTCTGGGCAGCTTCCAACAATATATCAAAATACAATAGTCTGTCAAACATTAAAAGCTTCCCTAAACAGGGCTGCCTTCAGATGTCTTCTAAAAATGTATCAATACATTTATAGTTTATTTTATTTAATAACATTTGCACACCACTTGATTGTAAAAAAACAGACACCTCACAGCAGTTTGCAGAAAGATAATAACAGCAAAACCAAGAAAAATTCACAACTGTTCTTTAAAACATTGCTGTTGACAATCTCTGTCTCAGGAGACAATGGAGGGGTGCGTACGCCTTGGGGGGGGGGTGAAGTCCAACCATTGGAGGGTTACAGCACCTGCTGCGGCATAAAATACTAAAACAGATTAAGATGACCACAACTTTCTAAGCAGTGAAATTGCATGGCTAGCTCAGCTGGTTAGAGTGCCGTGCTGATAATGCCAAGGTTGCAGGTTCGATCCTCGTATGGGACAGTTTCATATTCCTGCATTTACAAGGGGTTGAGCTTGATGATCCTCAGGGTCCCTTCCAACTCTACAATTTTGTAATACACATACTGAATTGAAGTATATAAATGAACGAACGAAGCGGAATAAATAAATAATTTGAAGAACGAACAAAGAAATAAAAATCGGGCAACCGCGTGAAAGTTCGCGCCAAGGAGAGAGAAACGCAACTGGCGCACCGCCAGCCCAGGAAGGCCTGCTCGGCGCAGCAAAGAAAGGCTGGTTGGGACAGAGGAGGAAGAGGGCGAAAGCAGCAGCATCCCTGACCTATCCTCCCCACGAGGAGGGCGGCTGGCGGGCGGGCGGGGGCTGCCGGAGAGGATGTTCATTGGAAAGTGCACGGATGGGTGGCCGGAGGAGCGTCCTGCCCACTTCCCCTCCCCTCCCTCCCTTCCCTCCCCGCGGAGCCTGCGACGCCCGCCGCGTGCGATCGGACAGCCCCGGCCGCCTCTTGTATACAACGGGGAGGGAAGAGGGAGGGAGGGAGCGAGGGACGGGTCCGGCCGGCCCCTGGGGCGGGGCGGCGTTTGCAAGACAACAGCCCGAGCCCGACACAAGGAACCGCTCGCTGCTGCTGGAGGGAGCCGCGCGGAGTCGCCAGCGCCAAGCAGCTTAGTAAGTGCCGCCGGCCGGGTCTTGGGGAAGCCCAGCCGCGCTCGCTCGCTCGCCACCCCGCCCCCGCCTCACCCCACCCTCCCCACGCCGCTTGCAACCCCCGAGGGGATGACATTTCTCTCCGATCCGAGGCTGGTGGGCGAGGGAAGCCTCTGGAGATTTCCCCCTACCCCCCAAATGGATTGGAAGGTTTTGCGGGCGCCTCTGGGAACTTGTAGCTGGTTGGGGTGTTTGGAGAGAGAGAGAGAGCGGAGCGCAAAGGCGCGCGCCGCTTGGGTTCTTTCTTGCGCGGAATTGTAGTTAATCCACCGATTAATAAAAAATCATTCCGTCTCAGAAATGGGAACTTCATTCATCTTGGAGGGGAGCATCCTGGTTGGCCTTTTCATTTTTTGCGGGGGAGGGCATGTGGTGTGTTTTTTGTTTTGTTTTTTTAAAAAAGAAATATTATTTCTTTTAAAGCTCGTTCCAGTCCCTGTTTGCAAACTCTTATAAAGGGTGCTCTGTGCGCCGGCTACTCACCCGGCGCGCGCGGGTATGTTTGTGTACGCATGTATTGAAATCGACGGGACAACTCCAGCGCAGGGAATCAATGAATCACTTTCTTCCAGTCCATAAATGCACTTACCCAGGAATGCCCCATGAGAACCAAACGGCGCTGCAAAGGGGGCGGGTGAATCTCTCCTTACAGTCGTCAAGACATCTCGTTTGGGAGCAATTCTGTGGATTTTAGTGGAGCGACTGTGCGGCTACTCTGGAGTAAGTCGCATATTAATTCAAGATCTCCGTCCCCAGAAAAAAAAGTGCTTTCAAAATAATATTTGCAGTGAGCCCCCTGCTTCCCTAATATGCCCCAGAAGGGAAGGGGTTAAAGTATCATTTGCGCCCGCTCACCCTCTCTCCCCCCTCCCGAAATAAAACCAGACCATCAGGTTTTCTGCACCGTCTCGCACGGTTTTCAGTGTGGCTTTCTCTGTTCGCGGACAGGGACCGTATAAGATTTTGCTTCTCGCCATATATGCATTTAGGTAGAGCTAACTTAATCATATAGGCCAGGGCTGGGGGATCGTTTCAAGGAGAATCAGAGCTACTTTCTCCTCTTCCCATTTCCTGCTTTCTATCTCTCTCTCTCCCCCTCGCATCTCCTGGCCAAAACAAAACAGCATATTTATAACTGACTAGGGGCACTGTCTCGCCAGCCAGTCTGTGGGGTTCTGTAACACAATGATTTCATAGTCAATGGGTGATAGGCAGGGTGATGCTCTTACAGTTGTAGGCACCAGCAGAGGTCACCAAGCATGTTATAAAATAAGCAGCCAGACACCATCCAGCTAAAAGGTTAATTCTCACTTACAAAGAGGAGCTGGCAGGACTATAACCTTAACCTGAATTTTCCTCCCTAGCTGTTTTGTTTTGTTTGCTTTCTCCAACAATGTGTTGTTTTATGTAGATCACTCTCAAGTTCCTTTATCATAGAATCGTGGAATTGTAGAGTTGGAATGGTGATTTGTAGCATGTTCTTGTTGATTGCTTATAAATAACATGTGGGAAAGAGTCTCCCCCCTCCTACGTTTTGGAGATAGCACAGCCTGTTTCTGGATCTCATCTTTTACTGCCCTTTGTGTAGCACTGTTATTCTGCATGATAGGACACTTCTGTGGTGTTGGGGTAGGCAATGCTTTAACAACAACAACAACAACAACAACAAATCATATTTTTATTGTTTTTCTATTATGTCCACAGTATTTTGTCTCTAATTTGAGTATATGGAATGGGAGTGCAGTGACCAGGGTGTGTGTGTGTGTGTGTGTGTGCATTATGTAACCTATCTGGCAAACCTGATGGCTGCCCGAGGTGCATTTAAAGGGGAGGGTGGAGAGGGCCTTTGCATGTGCATGGCACAGAAACCAAGATAATCCAGTTGCTTTCAGCCCCTGCTCCAAGTGCAGAGGGAGACAGTCACTCAGCATTTAGCATCAGCTTCAAAACGAGTGAAGAACATTTCAGCCTAAATGTTCGCTGCACTTCACTTTGGTTCACCCTGGCCTAATCTTCCCTCCTTTTTCTCCCTTGAAAATCACATCCATAGGACTGGTTCTGTGAAGGCAATTAAAGGATTGATAATCTGATCCAATAAGAATGGGTGCAGATCTAGTGTAGGGGTAGGAAATCTGTGGTCTCCTTGACTCTCACTAACCTTGACAATTGGGCGTTACTATTAGGCGTATTTGCACCTGCTTGTAGCTCATGTGAATTGTTTGTGAAATGAATAAGCAGATAATGTGTAAGATGGAGTGCAAAGATGTGTGTGTAGAAGGGGAACCTGTGGTCCTTCAGATGTTTCTGGGCTACAGTTTCCTTCATCCCTGGCCATTGACCGCTTTGGCTGTGTCTGATGTGAGCTAGGTTCCAACACAATGAAGGACCACAAGTTCCCTCACCAGGTGTAGGTTGGTGTCCCAACCCTGCTTTTTGTCTCCCCCTGTAATCCGTAAGTACAAGAAGGAAACTTTGGTGCAGCATCTGTGCCTGAGAAAATAAGCTACAGTACTTCTTTCCGCAGCACACAGTTACAACCATGGAACTCGCTCCCACAAGTGGCATTGGTGACCACTAGTACCTTTGAAAGAGCATAAGAAAAATTCAAGGAGGAGAAGGCTATTGACTGCTAACTGAGACAGCTATGTTCTGCCACCACAGTTGGAGGCAGCTATGCTTCTGAATACTAGCTGCTGGAAGCCACAGGAAGAGAGAGTGGTCTTGCGCTCAAATCCTGCTTGCAAGTTTCCCACAGGCATCTGGTTGGCCAATATGAGAACAGGATGTTGGACTAGATGGGCACTGGCTTAATCTTAAGGCTTAAGGCAGGCCTGGACTCTGGCAGCGAGGCCTTGCATGTGCTGGAGTTTAGACTCTTTCAACTCCTGCTCCTTTTTGCTGCTGTATCCAGGACTATCAAGATGATTCACAAGACACTTGCAAATGCTAAAGTTCACAGAGTGCTAAAGTTCAAAGGGTGGGCGGGTGGGAAAGGATATAATACCAGCAGAGCAGGCTTTCACATGATATCAGAGAAAGGCGTAAATCCTTTGAGCGGAATAGGAAATCCATTGCAAAAGGTGTTTTTGCGCATTGCATTTTAAAAGTGTACAGCTGTGGGCTGAGATCTAAAGGATTCATACATATTTCAGGCCTCTGCCTCTGGTGGAAGCTTCTGCTCGCAGAAAAGCTATTCTGCAGGCTGAGGGAAAAGCTTCTGAGCGACATTCCATGATGTATCACAGGCTGCTACTGGAAGGAGAAACTGGCAACCCCCTTGGTCTTTTGGGATACTGACTGTGATGAAATCCGAGGTATGAATATGATAAACATGGGTTCACAAACTGGTGTGTCACCTGGTTATACTCATTAGGGAGCTGTGATGGTCTGTAGGAAGTACACACTTAGGGGCAAACCCAGGTTGGCATCTACATAATGTGGAAATTGACCCAAATATTCATCCTCGTTTGACAGTTTCATATGTCTTAGACTAAGATCCTTTTCTCTGATTTTGACTATTATTTGGAAATATGTTTGACCCCTTCCCCCAGTATCACCTGCCATTTATTTGAACGTTTCTCTTTGTAAGCAATTCAGTTTGGGCTGCTATTAAACATCAGATTAAAAACACCAATGTGGCCTGGTAACATACTTGCAAGTAAAAGATGAAAATGTTTTAATATCTTTTGGCTATTTTTTTCCTGACAGATTCCTATACAGGTGTGGTTATTCCAGAAAGAAAGTCAGGGGATCAGGGATGGAGGCACAGAATCATGATACTTGTTTTTGTTCTCAAGTTTCAGCTAATGTATTATTATTTTTAAGTACTGTGAACTGTGCTACTTGGAATACACATGTTTGCTGAGAATTCAGTCTGACTTTTTAAAGGATTTGGCCAGAGTGAGTTAGCACCGGGGCTATGCTTGTGACTTGTCCTCCATCCAAATGAATGTAGTTTATCTGGAGGCAACAGGCAAATAGCCTAAGGTTATATGCTGGCACCTGAATTCCAAGCCTTATCTAAGATTGCAGAACAACCTATTGAGGACAGTCTTTGCTTTCTGAAACAAATACTATAACCCAGTTTTGCTCTCCCTGTGGAACAATATCTTTTTTGGCTGCTAACTCCTTTGGATGCCTGCCAGGCTTTAGCACCCTGTGTCAAATAACACGCTTCTGACAAAGGTTGCCCCAGTCAGGTGGGAGAAAATTACTCAATGTTCACTCACTCAATGTGAGTGTTTTGTTTTGCTTTTGCTCTTGGGCATTTTAATTGTCCCAATCTTAGTTTCACCTAATTGGGGCGGGTGTGGGTGTGTGTGCCATTGAATTCCACATGATACTCTATTTTACAATAGAAGTAAAATATATAGGGGAATCTCTGCCTATCAGAAGAGAGCCAGGCTTTATGAATGATACAAGTTTTTCAGAGAAAGAAAACACCACCACCACATCTCCTGCTTCTCTCTCCATCATAACATACATGAAGATTCTCGGTGTGTGATGTGACATCATCACCCAGTGAGTTTGTATGCCTCCACTCTCTGTCATTTGCAACATCTGGTCCCACCTTTAATGAACAGAACCTTTTGGATGGTGGCACCACAAGAGTCACTCCTGAGCAATGTCTGCAGGGCTGGCACCAGCAACTGACATTCTTGGGCAGCTGGCAGGGCCCCAACACCCTGGCAGGGCCCAATGCTGACACTTGTCCTGGGGCCCCATTTTTGGGGGGGAGGTGTTATCAAAGCCAGCTGAGTGTAGCTGCTTTTATTTTCCTGCAATGCCCCCAACATAACTTCACTGTGGGGCTTTGTGGGAAATTAAAATGGCTGCTGACGCCACCCCCCATGGCTGCTTTGAGGGCTGCCACTGCCCGTCACTACAACCAAGGCTCAGCACCAAAGGAGGGCACTTGGTCAGGGGCATCTCAAACCTGAAGCTGGTCTTGCAAATCCACCTGGCTTATTCTACCTCAGCTCTGGAAGAGCAGTGAAGATGATGTTGTTTGTGAAGGCCTTCGGAGGAAGTTAGCATTATGATTGCTGTTGGATACTGAGATACTTTAAAGCAGGGGTCAGCAACCCTTTTCAGCCGTGGGCTGGTCCACCGACCCTCAGACCATGTGGTGGGCCGGACTATTTTTTTTGGGGGGGGGGAATGAACAATTCCTATGCCCCAGAAATAACCCAGCCATGCATTTTAAATAAAAGCACACATTCAACTCATGTAAAAACACCAGGCAGGCCCCACAAATAACCCAGAGATGCATTTTAAATAAAAGGACACATTCTACTCATGTAAAAGCACGCGATTCCTGGACCGTCCGTGGGCTGGATTGAGAAGGCTATTGGGCCACATCCTGCCCACGGGCCTTAGGCTGTGTTGTTGCTGTCTTATTTTGAATGTTTTTATAGCTGTTGTAAAAAAAGAAATCATGTTGTTTTAAAAATTTATAAGCCATTGTGGGGGGTCCTTTGGGACTGAAAGTTATGAGTATGATGTGATCATTTGCATATGATGCCCGTCAGATTAGTTCCTTTGCAGGAAACTCTTCTAAAGTTCAAGATGATTATGTGCTCACCTCCGCCACCTTCCAAAATGACATGTTGTCCCTCTCCTAGGCCCTTCCCCAACTAAGCAGGGTGATGGTTCTGTACACAACACATTTGGGGGGACAGATTCGCACATTAAGAGCTCTCTTGGGAAACTAAGGGAGG